AGAGGAGGCACTTGGTTCGGGGGAGTCCCTGTAAAAGGCTTCAGGAGGGACACATGGAAGATGTCATGGATTCTGCTGTGCTCAGGTAGCTCGAGTCGATAGGCAACCTTCCCGATCTGCCTGAGAACCTTGAAGGGCCCGTAAAACTTTGGGGCTAGCTTGGGGGGTCCTCAACGCCTGAGGGAGAGCTGCCGGTAGGGTTGGAGCCTCAGCCAAACGAATTGTCCTTAATACCAAGATAAATCTGCAGAGATGGGAGTGAAACACCTCGTTCATCAGGGCCTGGAATGTGGATGGCGCGTTGCTAAGACCGAAGGGCATGACCAGGAACTCGAAATGTCCATGGTGTGTTCTGAAGGCCGTTTTCTCTACATCTTCTGGGGTCATTCGGACCTGGAAGTATCCTGATCGGAGGTCTAGCTTGGAGAAGTACTGTGCTCCATGGAGTTCGTCTAACAACTCATCTACGACTGGGATGGGAAACTTATCCTTGACCGTTCGGCTGTTAAGCTCTCTGTAATCCACACAGAATCTCCAAGTCCCGTCTTGCTTGGGCACCAAGAGAATTGGGGAGGAGAAGGGGGAGCGGCTGGGGCGGATGATCCCTTGTTGTAACATGTCTGCGCACTGCCTTTCTATTTCATCTTTCTGCCGATGTGGGTAGCGGTAGGGCCTGACAACAACGAGATCTGATCCGGTTATCAGGGGGATTCGGTGGTCGCAAGCTCTGGGAGGGGGAAGCCCCTTGGGCTCCTTGAATACTGCAGAGAAGTCCRTAAGGAGCCTTTCCATATCTGTTGCGCGTGAGTCCCCACCTTGGAGTGTATGTAGCTGCGCCCTTGTTCKTATTCTGGTTCCCCGCCATGTGACTAGTTTGCCATCCAAGTGGAAGGTCATGGTCAGGGCGGCGAAGTCCCATAGAATTGGTCCAAGCATGATTAGCCATTTAACACCTAGGACGATGTCAAATTCGTCCAAGGATAGTACGAATAAATCTACTTGGAAGGACTCTGTTCCGACCTGAATTCTGGTGTCTTTGCAAATTCCGGGGTTGTGAACTCTTTCCCCGTTTGCCATGGCCGCCTGTAATTGTGGTCTTCTTTCCATGGGCAGTTCTAACTTGCGAGCCACCTGTTCGCTGTTGAAATTGTGGGTGCTACCCGAGTCTACCAGAATACGGACTGGCCGTTCTGCTATCAATGCTCTCAGTTGCATGGTTTGGGAGGTCTTGATCCCCGTAATGGCATGGAGGGAGA